TCCCCTAAGCTTAGTCCTAGGCGCCATAGGTGAGAAAGCTTAGAAAAGCAGAAAATATGCGTTAAACAGCACGAATGTCAAAACCAGTGTCATATTCGTGATCAGGGCCCCAAATAACCCCTATTCAGAAGTTTACAGCGAATTTGGTGATAATCAGTAGTGGCGCCAGCTGGCGCCAAATGGCGCCAATTGGCGCCAGCGCCAAAAAGGATGTCATATTCGTGATCAGGACCCTCGATAACCCCCATAGCAAAAGTTTCAGCGAAAATTATTTTTTGACCCATCTGGACCCCCATGGGGGTGCAATAGTGCCGGTTTTTCTCTCGAGCGTTCCTTCTGTCTCGGTGGAACATGCCATGAAACTGCGATACCAACCAATCCTTCCTCTTCAATGCCGATCATCTCTTATCTCGCTGTCTGCCATTCTCGACTACATCGTATTTGGACCAAGGACTGCTGTCTCTTGTGGTTTCAAAAGGTTAAATCCTTTTTTTCTCAGATTTTCGTGCTGGCAGAAGTTTTGTGAAATCCTAAAGAAGTGGATGTGCGAAATCTTCATGCGAGTGCCCATACAGGAGGGTTATTCACGTTTTCACGCAATTTTCAAAAGCGTCACCTACGCTCTTGTTACTGCCTTTCTTCGGCATGAAGAACAGCTTTGTTTACATCTTTGTGCTCTCTCTGGCTATGGAAGGGAGGCGCTAATTGCACATATTACATGATGACCATTTTGAAGTTTTGACTGTAGCGCCGCTTCTGCCCGACATTTACCACATGATTACTGGCACTTCGCCCAGCATGAGCTGAGTGCGCCTCCGGTGAGTTTTTCGGGAGCCCTTCACAAAAATATTACAAAAGTGCAGCCGATCAGTCCCATGGTTTCAACAACTACTCTTCCAAAGAAGGTTGAATTTGAGTACCACTTTAGCCAAAACCGCGATTTCTATGGATCCCTGTTGTACTGCGACTGCTGTTTATTCCTTTCTTCATGTTTTGCAATTATCAGCCAGTCGGAAAAGACAGAACTGTTGAGGTCAGTTGTAATTGTTTCTACGCACTGATGCGCCTCAGCGTTTGAAATTGCAGGTGATTTTCAAAAGTGAATGGTGGTTCACAATTGCCGGTTCTGTGATGGCGTTTACGTGCGGATACTTCAGCAGTTTGGCCCTTATCTACACGCCTAGGTGAGTACCTTGTTAAGTCTTCATACTTGCAATCTTACACCTATTGAAAAGGAACGAGATGGTATGACTTCACGAGTGTTCATTGAATGTGTTTGCTCCTTGCGGGAGCAGCTTCGAACATGGCGAATCCCGAGGTGTTACACTGAAATATATGGGCACTATATATGGACCAAATTCCACGAAGCGTACCATCTTGTGGGGCATCTCCGGCTATGCGCGCATGCTTAATACTTTCATAAGTATGTTTGCCTGATGGCTTAACCTGTTTCCCTGGGGATCTTTTTTTCATTGTCGTTTGAGGGATTGAGCAAGCTCACCTGTTATCCCCGTTCATAATGGACAGGCAAACAAGCGTTGATGTCGCGCCCTTTTGCCGCTTGAAAGTGCGCGACAAAGGCGCAGGAGCTCGCTTGACCCGCAATCCACACCTTCGTCCGCAAGCCCCACCCTCCGCTGTCGGTTGCCACGTGGCGCTGCTTGAAAAGCGCGGGCGCAGGTTGCCCAGCGGTTGCCATTGCGGCTCAATGTCATTGGCACTGGAGCAACTGGAGCTAGCTCGTGAAACTCGTCCAACACGCCCCTTCTCTATCCCAAGGTGGAATGCGGCTGAAATAGAGGAGGTCCTTATTCGGGCGTAATCGGGGGTTTCTCTTGCTTCCTTTTTCCTTTTCAGAGCACTCCCCACCTCCAGCTTAACTGCTGAATGCTGTTCCACACCCATTTTATCCCGAAGTTTGCCCATGATCAAACACAAGTCGTATAAATGCAGATGACTACTAATAATCTCCTATTGGTTTTTAACACTTTCTGTCACCCGAACTTCTCGCAAGCGTGTCAAAAATTGCATCAATCTGATGAAGTGTTGCCATTATGGCTGAAACATAACGGCATAGCAACATAACAAGACAGTCCTTTAGCACTCTTGCAGCTAC